TCTTGCGCAAACAAGCCTCAAGCATTTCTTAGGTGGGTTTTATAACCATCTCCTAGAATTTCATTCAAAATAAAATTGGGATTGCATCATGGTGAGTTTGCAGTTTCTTCTTTTCTTTTTTTTTATTTAGATTCATTCAGGTTGCACTTTATGCATCTACCTTGACTTCTGCAGGCTACAGACATGGTGGTGCACATATCAACTTTTGTTTTTTAATGTGTTTTCATGGGTATCATCATGTTTCAGCATAAGAAGCACATACTAACATTATATGAGAATGCTATATTTGTTTATGGCGAAAATGAAATAAATAATGACTGAAAATATGAAAATACAGAATATGTATTGCTTTCCTGGAAAATAAGCAAGAAATGGTAAGTAGTTAAGGACTTTCAAAATCCCTCAAGGACTTTTGCACAACTTTCCCTTTCTCAGTAATATTCTGATAAAGCAGATGCAGCCTTTCGAGGTCCAACATCCTGAATGGGATTACTGCATATCTGAGAAACATGATACTAATTGAAGGTACAGTTTTGGGGCACCCAATGGGGAATCCATAAGCTGAAGTAAATAGGATTGAAAGAGGATGAAGAAAATACTCTCCATTTAAACTCGTCACCCCTCGCAAATTTAGTTTATAGCTTTTCATCCTGAAGATTTTCATATAAATATTGTAAAACAAACAGTTCCTGATAGATCAATGTAGCCATTAGATTATTTCTCTTTCTATCTTTTTATCTACTTACTATTGTTTTCCTAGTAGGCTGCTTCTGTTTCTCTATAAATTGGCATAAATTTCTTCAGGCTGAAGTATTTCAGCTATATTTTCTTCCTTTTTAAGATAAAACCATTCTTTTCCATGTAATTTAACATCAAACAAATTAGAAGAGCTGGAAATTCATTCACTATAAAGGGGTGGAAATTATATCTGAAGTATTTCAACCTGAAAAGAAGATGTGTCAATTTTATGGAGAAACAGATGGAGTATAAGAAAATCAAGCATGACCCAAGCTGATTTCCTTTATTTAGACTAGATATGAACCAATTGAAGTGTCAGACTCTTAGCTAAATTTGAAGCAGAAATTATATGCTAGCTATCCAAAATAAAAAATAAAAAGAAATCATAAGCACCCTAAAGGTGGTATTTGATAACAGATGAATTAGGAATTAAATGCTCAATGCTGGAAAATTTTAAACATGAAAATCTTCCTGAATTCTAGGTCTATTTTTGGGAATATAATAAAGGCTCTAGGAGTAAATAGTCACTAAACATTGGAATCTTTTCAACATATTCGGCAATAATGATGCAGATTACTGAGTGATAAAATCTCAGATTTTCAAATTGGTATTTTTTTTCCGGCATTCAGCCCTTGGTTTATAAGAACCATTTAAGATATATATTGAGTTTATTACTTGACATGAAATTCGAGTAAAATATATAGATAAATAATCACTTTCCATATTTGCATCTTTATTTTTATGCTACCTTATCGAGTCTATTAACATTTCTCAGAAACATAGTTTGGGTGATAGAGGCCTCCCTCCCTTCCTCTTTCCTTCTTAAGAATCAAAAGTTTAAGAATTGTTATATGTCAATGTAGGAATCTCATTAGTTCTAAAATCCTTTATATATCCATCTTCTTCCAACACCTTCCCTAACTAAACTGATTTCTTAGCTGATGGAGAACAGACACCAGAATGTTTTAGCCCAACTCAATGAAGGTTTGTTTGACTTGGCAAGCCCATCTGCATCAGAATTCAAACTCCCAAGTATCTCAAGCACAATAAACCCACATTGTGATGCTGACTATTCGTTTGCTCCAGATCTTTTGATTACTCCTAGCTTAGTACATGCATCTACATCAGCTCTGGAAGGACCATTCCTAGACTCCCAGAATACAATAAGATCTACAGATGAGCCTTCTTTTGGATTCAACACCACTTCCACAATGGCTCAACAAGCCCATGTCTCCAGCTGTATTGAGGTAACTTCATTTGTCTCAACTATCACAACACCAATTGGAACACCTGTTTGTAACTTCGCAAGCAACCTTTCAATGGGCTCAAATGGTTCATTTTCAATTAGAGATGTTCCTGTCTTTACTAATGGACCTAGTTTAAGCTCAGTTGGCTTTCTTCCAATGAGAGATGAAAAAGCCCATGTTCCTATTTCTCCCAATACATCTTGCTTTAGCTCAGATGGTTCCATCCCTTTGAGAAACCAGCAGACCCATGTTCCTGTCCTTAGTGCCTCAGCTTCCTTTGGATCAAACGATTACTTCCCTAGGGCAAGCCAGCCAACTTACAATCCTAATCCTTCCAATACACCTAGGTTTGGCTTCAAACAACAACGTCCCCATGTCCCAAGTCTGGCTCATACATCTTTATTTGGCCAAGATGGACTTGTTTCCATAAGAAACCAACAAAATCATGTTCAAAGTTTTCCTAGCAGACATTGTTTTAGTTCAGAAGGATCTTTTCCTGTGAAGCACCAACTAACTAACCATGCTACCTTTGGCAAAGCATACATCCCTGACTCAAGTGGATTCTTCAAAATGCCAAACAACTTAGCCCTTTCTCTTATCCCTACCTCGGCACCTTGTTTCGACTCAAATGGTTCCATCCCATTGAGAAAACACCCAAGACTTGATACTACCCATACCGCTATTTCTCAACTAAATCCTTATAGCTCATTACCAATGACAAACCAGCAAGAGTCCTTTTCTAGTTCCTCCATTACTAAGCCTGATATGTATCATTTAGTTTCCAACAAAAAACAACCACCTCTTAGCCAGATCCCAATTACTAGACATTGGACCAATAACAATGACATCCATGTATGTACTATATGCTGCAAGGTATTCCCTACTAGTCAGGCTTTAGGAGGGCATATCAGTTCACACTCCAAAGCAAGGAAAAAGGAGGCAATGTTGATTGGCAGGACATACAATCCTGACAATAACATTAACCTCACATGGGGAAGAGATAGGGCATTCAAGCACTCGTATGAGATTGGCAATGAAGAATCTTCCTCACCATGTAAGGTCTCAAAGAAAGAATCTTCTCTACAAGGTGTAGTCAATAAGAATGAATTCAAGGCGAACAATGTTGATGAGCAAAGTGATATTAATCATATAAAGCAAGTTTCTGAAGTTGAAGTTAATGTAGAATCAGAAGTGAGCTCCCAGGAAGATGGCAATGCTGCTGAACAAGGTTATCCTGTGAAAGCCAATACGGAGTTCGAAGAAATGAACTAATGAAGTATGAAAGCAGTGGAGCAGTTGCTAGTGAATGGAGTAACAAAGCAGTAGAGCAGATGCTAGTGAATGGAGTAACAAAGGAGAGGGGAAAACTTGCCAAAACTGGCAAGTAAACTGAAGGTTTGTTTCTTTCCTTCAGTCGTCAGTTTATGGTCTTCATAATTAGTTCCTAATAGTGAAAGCACACTGCTGCTTAATATCAAAGTCCAAACCTTGACACTTAATTTCATAGACTAATTACTGACCAGTCATGGAGGACATACCTAATATTTTGTTATTTCTAGCCAGTTTTCTGTGTCTTGGGTGCCACTGGTTTGGTAAATTTTGTAAAAATGGCCTTTCCTTCAGGGTCATGAGCTGAGAAGATCTTCTTTATATTGTCGTTTTGAGCTTTCATTTCATAAATATAATTTCTAATTAAATATGGGGATTCAATGTATAGAAGGAAGAGGGTTTGATCAAATTGGCACGACAAAAGCTTCAAGGATATCCACATAAACATGTAAAAGAGAAAAAAAAAAAAAAAAAAAGAAAGAAACAACATAATAAGGAGATAAATGAGTGGAATTTCGCATTGGACAGTTGGTAGTTGGACTCTCAGAAATAAATATGCAGATCTGGCAATAGGTTATCAAGTGTTATTTATGTTGTCAATAAATAACACAACAATGCAATTTATGCTATTCATGTGTAGAATGATTGATTTGGATTCATAGCCTTTACCTATCATAAACTGGAGTAGCTTCAGTATACACTAAGCTGATTTTTGGTCCATGGTTTTAGAATCTTGAAAATTTCAGCCATTTCTGAAATGGATTTGTCTCAATCAGTCAAGTATCTTTGCAACAATTTCTGAGTCTGTTACTGGTAAGTGAAACTTGCTTGTAGCACAGAGTTGGTCTGATTGGGTCCCTTTGGCTGCGTTTAGAATCAGTGTAAAGCGTCATCGGTGTAAAAATACACTGATAACGTTTTACACTGAACCGTGAAAGTGACCATTGCTTTCTGAAAAACGTGATGGGTGAAGGAGTGTAAAGTTTTATATTGATAAAATCGATATAGTTTTTACATCGATTATCGATGTAAAACTTTATGCTTGATGAGGTTTTACATTAATTATCAATATAAAACTCCACCCCATCCAAACGCACACAAAACTGAACCGAAGTGGAGTTTTACGTCGATCATAATTACACGCTTCTTCCAAATGCCTACAAAACCGAACCGATATAAATTTCTATGTCAGTTTTTGATTTACATTGCTTCCAAATGCAGCCTTTGTCTACTAGGATGGTCAATCGAGGCCGCATTTGGTTGCATAAATTGAAAACAAAAAATGAATGATTTAATTGGAAAATGATATTCAATAGGAAAATAAATCATATTTCTTCTTCTCTGTTGTTTCACTTGGGAAATAAACATGGATAATAGAGAAATACATGAAGATATGAATCAAAGGTGACCATCTCATTTGGAAATTGACTTACAGAAAATTAAAATAGATATCATTCTCCTAACATTCATTTTCTTGAAAAATATCCATTTTCCAAAGTTATTTTACATGCAACCAAACTCCATTAAATAGCAGTTTTCAGGAAATCATTCATTTTCCTTGATTTTACCTGCAACCAAATGGAGCAATACTTTGCCATTTAACTTCCGGTTTTCTTTCCAAAATCCAAACCCACCATGGAGCATTAGACCGAATGTCTTTCTGAAAATACCAGGAGAAGGTTTAACCCATCGGGTTTGAATCGGATCAGTTCACAGCTCACGGGGTGTGATGAACCAGATTGATGGACTTCTATGCTCTTATGATTCGGACTTCCACGCTCCAATGTTAAATGATTTGAGTCCGGATCTGCTATAGAGAAGACCCGTAAGCGTGACACGGGCAAGTAGAAATTGCAGCACGGACAATAGGTCAATGCGGAGCGGAGCGGAGGTCGGACCTCATGAAGAAGATTGTCTTCATACGAGACTGAACGCAGAAATCATGATACTGAGATCACCCTCCATCAGTCCCTACTTCGTTCCCCAACTAAAATTCCTTGCTTCAACCCTCCAATTCTATTCTCTCCATACCCACAAGTCCAATCCATCACCACTCTTTACTAAACCAGCTTTCACCTCTCTCATAAACTGCTGTTCTACACAGCCCAACCAACTGAAGCAAATTCATGCACTACTTCTGACAGCCGGCCTCTCCATTAAGAACAGCCTCATCACCCAAATTCTTTCTTCTTTGACGTTACTAGGTGATATGACATATGCCCGCCAGATCTTCGACGAAATGCATAAGCCACGAGCTTTCTTATGGAATACCCTCATTAAAGGGTACGTGAAAAACAATCTTCCCGTCGAGGCTATAGCTGTTTACCAAAAAATGCATTGCCTTGGTGCCCGCCCCGATCAGTATACGTTCCCCTTTGTGCTCAAAGCGTGTGCCGAAATTGATGATTTTTGGGCTGGTGCTGAGGTTCATGCTCTGGTTGTTAAGTTTGGCATAGACTTTGATGCTATAGTGAGGACTGAATTGATGCTATTGTATGCCAAAGTTGGGGAATTGGGTTCAGCAGATTATTTATTCAGGAGTATGAGTGAGAGAGATTTGGTCTCTTGGAATGCTTTAATTGCGGCATATGTGCAGATTGGAAACGCAGGTAAGGCTCTTCGATTGTTCCGTGAAATGGGTCCAGCTGGAGTTAAGCCTGATTCTGTGACTGTTGTGAGTGTGCTTGGGGCTTGTGCTCAGTTGGGGTGTTTGGGAATTGGAAAGCAGATTGATCAGTTTGTTGTCGACGAGGGGCTTGAGAGAAATATATTTGTTAACAATGCACGGCTTGACATGTATGCGAAATGCGGAAACATGGATCTTGCAAGCAGTCTGTTTAATGAGATGCAGGAGAGAAATATTATCTCCTGGAGCACTATGATTGGAGGGTATGCAATCAATGGGGACTTTGAGAAAGCCCTGCATCTTTTCTCTCTGATGCAGCATGAGAGGGTAAAGCCAAATCATGTCACCTTTCTTGGGGTTCTCTCTGCCTGTAGCCATGCAGGCTTAGTAAGTGAAGGTAAGAATTATTTCAACTACATGGTCGAGTCCTCTGACAGTAATATCCATCCAAGACTAGAGCATTACGCCTGCATGGTTGATCTTCTTGGCCGGTCTGGACATCTTGAGGAGGCTTATGGATTCATCAAAAGCATGCCAGTTGAGCCAGACTCAGGGGTCTGGGGTGCTCTTTTGGGTGCATGTTCAACCCATAACAATATTGAATTGGGCCAGCTAGTAGCTGATGTGCTTTTTGACTTAGCTCCAGAAACCGCCTCCTATTATGTACTATTGTCGAACATATATGCAGCAGCAGGGAGGTGGGATGATGTCAAAAAAGTCAGGCAGAAAATGAGAGGAAAAAGTATTAAGAAGGTGGCTGGTTACAGCTCTGTTGAATCAAATGGTGAGATTCATGTTTTCTATGGGGGGGATAAATCGCATCCACTGTCTACAAGTATATATGAGGTGTTAGCTGAGATAACCAAGAAAATGAGCAGTATTGGTTACATGCCAAATACCAGTGCTGTGCTGCATGATGTGCAAGTTGAGGAGAAAGAAGCCACACTCAGCACTCACAGTGAAAAACTTGCTATTGCATTTGGCCTCATTAGTGTGAGAAGTGAGTCTCCCATAAGAGTGATGAAGAACTTAAGAATTTGTGATGACTGCCATACTTTCTCCAAACTTGTCTCCAGTATTACCAAGAGAGAGATCATCATGAGAGATAAGAATCGTTTCCATCATTTCAAAGATGGTCTTTGTTCTTGCAAGGATTTTTGGTGATAATAGATGAGATTTTCCTTATTGATAAGCATGATCTGATTTGAGCCAGATCTAGAAAAGGCATTTAAAGATTTATAGTTTTCGTGGAGGGGAAAAACTTCATTGTGGTAGATCAAGACCCCCTACCTTCCAAATGATGGGATTTGGCATCATTCGTTATTCTACATTGAGGGGTTCTCCAACTGATTTAAAGCCTGGATTTGATGCTTGTTCAGGTCAATGGCCAATGATGTATCTGAGTCCTTAGCCATGATTGAGCAAGTAGCATATCAAAAGCATCATATGAGAGTAGAATTGATTTCACTGTGGAGAAAAGGACTCAGTCTGAGCGTGTGATGTAGCTAAAAAACATCCGCCGGATAATCTATAGAAGCTTGGTTCAGCTAGTAATTCATTTTTTTCTTGAAACTGAGAGAAAGACAGCAGATCACTATCCAATTGAGCACGTGGCATCCTTAACCATACTAGGCCAGATGGCCCGGACAGGAAGTCAGGGTTTTGAATATGGGAGATGTGTTTGGTGATGCAAGCTAACTGGCACTCCTACCGAGTCCTGCCGTCGGACATCCATTTAAGCTTTACTAGTTTCTATATGGGCTATTAACTGGATCCAATCACCATTTTGTGAGTTTTCCAACCCAGCAGCTCTCTGATTCTCTGGCCATACAAGATAACCAACTGGTTTTTAGATTTTTTTTTAACCGCCAGATCAGTTTGTCTTTATGTCATACTTTCTTGATTGAATGGTTATACACTGCATGCTTTTGTATCAAAAGCTTGTTCCATTCCTTTGTGAGAATAGAACTAGTTGATTCCACTCAAAACTTAATCAACTAAACTTGAGAATCAACACTTAGATTATAAGTTTGTAACTCAAAAGAAGAATTTGGTTCAGCACTTGAGCTAGAGTTGGCTCACTAGTAGAATGTTATGGACGCATTCCTCGGGAAAAAGTATCATCGCCGCCGGCAGCAACAGGAACCTGACCCACCGCCAGCAGCAGCAGTGATTCAATGATCCTCGTCCTACCCAGTTTGGCAACAGCAGATTAGATTAGATCATCTTGCTTGTTCTTATCTTATTCTATTGCTCTTATCTTATCTTATTAGTGGATTATCAGATTAGGATTAACTTATCTTATCCTTAGCAAGATAGAACTGGAAGTCTCCCTATTCAGCAAGGAGACTCCCTAAAATTAGGACTCTTGTAATCTCCTATTTAAGGAGACACCATTATTGAATGAGATATCGAATATTCAGTTAAAGAAGTGAGTTAGGAGAGTTGGTGATCTCTTGAACAAATCACCAAGGCGCCAAGATAGGTTTATCAAGAGCAGGAAGGAACAAGGGAAAACAGGAGGTTTTCCCCGTGGACCGACCCGTGACGAGATCCTATTCTCGGGCCCTCAACATAGAAATGAAAAATAAATTGATCATCAATTCCAAGTGATGCAGTCAAGTCTCATCCAGGAACCTTTTAACTTTTTATGGGCTGAAATTTGAGGATTCTGAACCCTGGTTTCAAGTGATTGATGTATTTGGGTTCATGTTTGAAGCTGCCTGCAGAGCATACATCAGACCACTATAGGTGCACACATTAGAAGAGTACAGTAATAAAGTGGTTGTCATAAAGCATGACCAACTGTGGTTGTGCCATCGGTACAAAGCTTCAAGCAGAAAAAGAGGCAGTCAATATATTGTAGATGACATGGACAGCAACTCCTTTAAAAAAACTACTAGTTCCCAAGAATCTCCATTCTATATTATTCATGTTTATGTGGTCAATGCTTATTGTTAGACCTTAGCAAACTTCAACACAGAAAAAAGATGGTAGGGGTATATTCTGGTTTCTATTATACATTCTTTTTTATTAGTAGTGAATGAAAATTTTTTATTAATAAAACATGGGAGAGGTTTCCTTGAAAGAGAAGTGGCAAAAATTAAAAAGTATTCCAGAGGATTCAAATCTCAGATTGATAAGCATGAAACACAGGTTCCAGTCTGAGAGTGGTCACTTTCTTTCTGCAAAAGAAGGCAAAGGTTAGATTGTTAGAACCATATCCAGCAGCAGCAGGAGCCCTCTCCCAAACCCAAAACTCCCCAACCCTGATCAAGGCATATTGGGTCTAGGTCTCTGCTACACTCAGCATGAGACTCTTTACTTGTGGGGCTACTGCATTCTACTTTCACTGATTTAGATAGGTTCTAACTTCTAACTTTGTTAGATACCTTTGCTAAGACAGGGAAATGGTCTTGTATAATTGACAACTTCAAGCTTGCACAAATAATTGAAGTAATCAGCCTTTTAACAATTTTAGACACAGATAAATTAAAGCAGCATTTATAATTTTATTTTTAGTTGGAAACTTGATAAGAAAATATTTTCTGGATTAATTGTTTTTTGGTCAAAAGAGCATAAGAAAATTTCTGGTTATCTATAGTTTTGGTTCAAAACAAGGTAATCTCAAGAGGGGAGGTTTTGCCAAAACAGAAGAAGAAAAATCTGAACCAAAGAGTTCACGGGTGTAATGCAGATTCAGTTTAGCACACTGGCTAAGACTCAGTTTGGAAGTACAAATACAAATATGTCGAGTGTAAAACCTTTGTATTCTGTATGTATTTGTACTTAAAAAGGAAATTCTGGCAAGTGTATTATATTTGTACAAAAATGAAAATCACAAAACATTAACCAAAAGTAGACTTTCAAGGGCTTTTTATGTACTTATCTTTGGATATATAAAAGATTAGTCTTGGGTAGGAGTTAGCTTTGAGTGATTTGAGCAATTTGACTGAACAAGTAAACCAATATAAATCAAATACCAGAAGGGTTTCTAGTTGTTCTCTTGATATTAATATGGTTCCTACTTGCAGGAGTTCTTTTTTTTTTTTGTCAGCTGCTTGACATTTAGGCAATGTTTGATTTGAAGGAAAGGAAAAGCAAGGAAACATTTACAAACCTTGTATAGGTTTTGATATCTTTCCTTTCCTTTCCCTACTTTTTTCTTCAAACCAAACATAGCCTTGGGGAAGAACCACTCATATTAAGAATAAGACAAGGGAGTCACAATCACAACCCAGGGAGTAATGTTATTAAATGAAACCCAGTTTTCTGTGAAATTGGACAATCCGGTTTCTCTTCAAGTTACAGAAAGAATGTAATTAGGGATGTAAATGGATCCGGTTTGCCAACCTAGCTACTCACGTGAGGTATCACACTCGTGCTTACCTGAGCGTATCGGGTTATCGATATTTTGATTCTTGATTTTGAATATCACAAGTTGTGGTGTAACCATAAATTAAACCCTTTATATCGTATTTTCAAAATGCTAATTAAAGTTCTCCATGTGGGATTTTTTCAAAAAAAAATTCTCCATGTGGGCGGGCTGGAGAGTCTCATTATGTTATTTTTTGAAAACTACACTAATGCGGTATTATACGATATGAATGTTTTTTGTTTTCATTTATTCCTGAAACCGCCATAAAACGTCCACTCATGTTTTTGAAAACCATGATGATGAAGGTTTTTAAAACCAAAGCTACATGATTCAAGAAACAAGATAAAGAGATATTATTAAATAGAAACATGTTTTTTACCAGAAACTCAAGAAAACGTTTTTGGTTTCAATTTTGGAAGAAAAAAAAAATAAACATATGCAATCAAAATAGGGTTGTTTATGGTTCTAAGAAAAGGTTAATAGATGCTTCAAGTTATTTGGTTTTTCAGTTTTCTATTTTTTCTTTTTCCAAATCTCTTTGAAAAAAGAAACAGCTGAAAATTATTTGCAAACAGCATAAAGGTAAGCAGTAATCTAGCTTATTCAACAAATATATAGGTAGATTGACTGCCAATGGGCCTGATTAAATGGGCTTAACCTTTATCTTAGATTGTAAGTAGTTGCTTTGGAAGAAGCTATTGCTTCAATAGAGTGCCCTGTGAATGGCTAATTGGTATAGATGACCAATTAAAGTTTTGTTTGGTATCATTGTCATTTCTACCTGAAATGTTTTCGGTTGATCAGAACAAATTGGTGAGAAACATGTGTTGTCACATACATATAAGATTCCTTTGAGTTAGAATGATTAGAATTCACCCACTTAGAGTAAGAAGTGTCAATTATTGGTATATGTTTGGTTCGTGGGAGTTTATTGAAAAAATGCTGTCACATCAGTGTCACATAGGCATTGGTGTTTATTGCATATGAAACAACTGTTTTGTTTCACCATTTATCAAATGTACATTAGAAAACTAAAATGCTTTGATTTATGTGCATAGGGCATTTGGAGAAACGTCAAATTCATATTTCCCCCAAGGGCATTTCTTGAAATGAAATGCTGATGTTGCACTCTTTATCTGAGGTGGAAAGCAATTTTATGGGATATTACTTAAAATCCTCATAAAACATCCAACCTAACCGAAAAAGCATAAAAAACATTTAAAGTAACACTTTTCAGATAAACATTTATCTAAAAAAATGCCTCTCAAGAAACTCCCACGAAACCAAACATAATGTTTTTATAAATAGCCTCCGGCATATGCACTTTTAAGGTATTTTTAAGGGTTATCACTGGGTGTAATGATAAAATGCCTCCCCGGCAAGCATTCTACGTTATGAGAGTAATCACTTTGTACAAAAAAACCAAAAGTTAGGACCATATCAATGCCAATTCCTCAGAAAAACAGTGCCATATCAGAAATCCGTTTTTGGAAGACATCTATTGTTTGGTTAGCCTTTTTCTGAAAAACATTTTCTCAGACTATGCCTTGAAAATCAGGAGAGATATGGCATGAGAAAACACCCTTTTTTGGTTTTCCCGTTTTTTTCTATTATATATTACTAGCAACAGTATGCTGACATGGCATTAAAAAATGCCTATATGGCAAAAACATCAATGTTACCAAATAAAAAACCTGAAAAATATGCAACGCCATTTTCTCATGAAAAAATGCCTCAAACACCGCCTATATTAATCAATCTAAAACTTTTTAGGTAGAAACAGAAAAGACAGTCTAAATAAATAATTGGCAAGCCCTAATAACATTTCCTATTTTGCTCGTAAGTCGGCCCCCTCCTCTTTAATTTATCAACCAGATCTTTGGGTTAAATTACCGTCCAGCTCATGTCCCTCTACATCCTATGGTATTTCCATTAATGCTAAAATTGTCCAAATTCAAAGCCCACTCAATCACTTCCTTTCCTGCTAACAGTAAAGTGGTTGTGCCTTCAATTAATGCTTAATTTTTATTTTTGACCATCCAAACACCCCAAGAAATTGTTCATCCACTTTTTCAGTGGAGAGTGGAGACATCCAGTCCCTAGGCTGTGTTTGGTTTGAAAGATTCAGTTTTTTCTTTATTTTCTTTCAATCCAAACAGAGCCGAGCTAGATTTTGGGTAGACATTTTCAATTTTCCATGGCTTTCCTGTGCTGTAATTAAATGGAACATGATGAATTGCTGAAGTTGGCTAGATGAAAGAAAAAGAAGGAAATGAAGGCATTGATTGTAAGTTTATTTTTCTTTCTGGGAAAGTTGATATCTATCTGTGCTCATTACCTCATCGGTTCAAGAAAAAGGCCATACTCATATAATCATCCTACCATAATCCCATCTATATATTATTCTTAGGAGAGCTGTTCTCCTATGAATTGCCACGTGGTTAATGTTATTTGTGTTTCAATTTTGTTTTTTGAAACAAAAAGCAATTGTCACATGGCCTGGAAAAAAAATCTATGCTACCAGAAAGACAAGATACCAGAAGGGCTTTGACCAATCAAATCCCCCCATGATAAATAACCACCTCATTGGTTATTTCTTTTATGATACCAGTTGATTGATTTCACGTTTTTCTGGTATCAAGATCGTTGGTGGAACACATTATTTTTGCTAATGTGACAGGTTGTTTTTGTTTAGAAAACAAAATCATACATGGAAAACATCCTTGTATCAAATTCATACATGTTGATGAATACACCCATGTTTAGTTTGAAGGAAAAAGTAAGAAAAGGAAGGGAAAGATAGGACAACCTATACAAGATTTGTAAAGACTTCCCTACCTTTTCCTTCATTTTCCTACTTTTTCCTTCAAACCA